CGACGGATTTGCACCAAAATCTACACGGACATGCTTCAAGTTAGCGGGAAGGCCAAGACTGACTTTGCATTTCCCAACTCCCATCGATAGTGGAAATAATCGATTTTTTCATGTTTCTACGGCAGTTTTCGTGTAGTTTGCGGCCATTTTCTACTGGCCAGAGTGAGAGCCTTATAGCTGGCTGCCACGAATAGACAGGAAGATTCTATTGGCCAGCGTGAGAGCCAACAGCTGACTGACACGAATGTTAACTAGAATGCTAGCATGCAAAAAAAATCGATAGCTGCATTCATCACAAGTGGGAAAAATTTAAATCTGCATGGCACTCTACTCCAATCGACTCATTCGCTTGCTTAAACTCAACGTTGATTCTGATTCCGCAGAACTGGGTTGCGTGTGAAAATGTATTTGTTGTTAACATTCTTTTCTCATTCGGTTTTTCCAGTTACGAGTCCTTTTTTAAAGCTGATTGTTTTGTGTTCATTTTTTTTAGTTCTTTTTTCGTAACAGATTTAATGTTTAGTATAGAGCTTAGAAAAGATTCGCAGTGTGAGATAGGCAAGAAGTAAGGCATGTAGCAACATCAGCACGGCAAAAAGCACTCCTTTAAAGGCAAGGAAGGGCAAAAATATTTTTAAGTCAAGTGATAGCGATTGCTGTATGAGTCGTACGATTTTTGAATCAAGCACGGGCAACGCCGGGCCATGCTGCTAGTGTATATATATATATATATATATATATATATATATATATATATATATATATAGTCTTAAGGTGTGCTATATTTATGGAATAAAGTGCTCAATATCAGAGATAGAGCGTGTGTAAATATAAAAGTGAACATAGAAGTCAACACTTAGAGGCGACAGTCTGTTTCATGCGATATGCAATCGTCAGGCCACATATGCTGTTATTTTTCTCGGCTATTTATATATATACGGGTTAGTGGTGCATTGTGGGTATTCTATTATGGTGGTTATTTTACCGGAAGTCGTTTGTTTATTTATTTGGGTCAAATTATATTGCTCGTTTTATTTTGTTTCTTATTTTATTTATTTATTTATTAACGGAGTAAAAAAATTTGTTTATATCACTTATTTAACAGTTTTGTTTTGGTTTGAGAATTTAATTAAAGCTATTTGTTCAATTTTGGGGTTGGTTGTTGTAGTTCATTCTAACTATTATTTTGGCAGGAAGAGTTTTTAATTTGGGATTGGTTTGTTTATTTATTTACTTGGATGAATTTAGGTCAATTTATTTTACTTGTATATTTTCTCTTTTCGGTTTTCGGTTTTAAGTATTTATAGTATTTATTTATTTTTTATTTTATTTTTTTTTATTAGTGTATTTATTTGTTTTTATTTTATTTTTTCCGTTTTTCATTTTTTAGGTTACGTAGTAAAAATTTATTTTCATGCCTGCATTTTGAGATGAGCTCGGATCTTTTATTTAATAATTTATTTTGGTCGGGAAAGTAATGATAGCTATTTTTTCCTCCAAGCAAAGTTTGCAAATTTTTTATTGGTTGTTGTAGGCTGGTGACTTTTTCCTTATCTTCCAAGATATTTTTTGGTGTGATGTGCGTTTGTTTTTAATTTCCCAGATATACTTAGAAAGCATTGTACTGTTCGCATATTTACTATTTGTGAAAGATGTTTTTTGTGTATAATTTCTTTGCTTCCAGGGTCCTTCAGTTACTCCTATGTATACTTTTTCTTCATTATCTGGTGATTTTATCGTGGCTTGGTATATTACGTTGTTTTGTAAAGAATTTCCGTTTAAGGGACATTCGTTCTTTATTCTGCAGTTGCACGTGGGTTTAATTTGTTCGTGTGGTTTGTTGATAATTTTCCTATTGTGCTTTTTTATTATTTGTGCCATGCTCTCGGTGCAGCTGTAGCTTATTTTTACTGTGTTTTTGTTGAATATCTTGTGTAAGGTGCTTGATTCTGGGAAGTGTTTGTGTAAAAGTTTGAAGAATATTTTTCCTACGTTTGTTTTTACGTTCTTGCTGTACGGTGGGTTGAACCATATGATATTTCTTCTCCTGTTGGCCTTTTTTGTATTCTGTGGTGAGTATGTGAGTATTGCTGGGAATCCGCTATCTTTTAGGGCCGTTTCATAGTCTTTCTTAGCTTTGTTAAATAGGGATTCATTGGAGGAATTGTCGGAGAGCCTGCGGTTAATCGATTTTGGTATCTGTTTGATTATAGAAGGCGGATGGCTGGAAGATGTGAAAGGGTTCATTTCGACATTCCGACCACCTGAAGAAGGCCGGAGCGTACAACGGCCGAAACGTTGTGATAAATATGGCAACAAAGATGAGGACAATAGTCCGATTATTGTAAATAATGTATAGCTAAATCGAGGTTAATAAATATAGAATTATCACTAAAAAAAGATGAACATGTATTGGGAATAAAATATTGCTTAGATGGAAATTAGGTGGAGGCCCAGTAAGAAATCCTTCTGTTTATATATCTAGTTATCTCATTTACCTAACCACACACACACACACACACGCACACACACACACACACACACACACACACACACACACACACACACACACACACACACATATATATATATATATATATAAGGTTAGGTAAATGAAATAACTAGATATACGCGTGTGCTGGCGTGCATACATTGATAAGCAAATAAATAATTGCCAAATTTAGCCAAGAGGTGTAGACATAATAGTGCTAAGAAATATGAATACACATATAACTGCGTTTGATGTACGACTCGAATTTCATTGGTTACCAAAGTCATCGGGCATGAGATGTAGCTTATTGTCTATTTTAAAAAAGTATTTAAAATAAAATGTATTTAAATATATTAAAAGTATTTAATATAAAAAAGTATTTTAAAATAAGCAATATCTCGTGTCCGATATATATATATATATATATATGTGTGTGTGTGTGTGTGTGTGTGTGTGTGTGTGTGTGTGTGTGTGTACAGTCTCCTCCAAAAGGTCAATTCTTTTGTTTTTGTTGTTCACTGAAGATCAAAAGATGAATATGAGACAAGAGTTCAGAATTCCAACATTTATTTCCTAGTACTTACATTTTGATGCGTTAAACAGCTCAGGACATACCTCCTTTTGTATCAGATCCCCCATTTTTAGGTGAGCAAAAATAAAAGAACATATAGTATTAAAGTAAATAACATTTAATATTTGGTTGTATAACCCTTGCTTGCTTCAAGCCTGAAACCCATAGACATCACCAAACTGTTACATTCGTCATTTGTGATTCATTTCCGGACTTTTAACGCAATGGTAATACAGCGCCATCTACAGTAAACTTTCTTCAATCTTAACAGCTCAAAAACGAAGGATTTGTGGACATATGTTTATATGGACTTTTGTCCTTGATACACCCTGTATATATATATACGCTATCAGTGTCTGTAAATAGTTTGAATATCATTAAGAAATGGAGCAAATAAATTTAGTTCATTCGATCGCATAATTTTTCAACAGATAAAATCCAGATGAGAATGAAATATTTGAATTGCTACACCACTTATATTTTAAGAAGATGAATTTTAACGTCCAGCCACGATCGTTCGATTCTCTGAGTATTGGTGCCATCTTGAGGATTCGCATAGTTTTCTTGCTGGTTGACGGTGTTATGGGCGTACCGTTCCGGCCTTTCGTCTGAGTGGATGACGTTGCTCATGTAGATCATATTCCAAAATATAGATCACAAGCTGAAGAAGAATCATGCATGTAGATCAAACGCAATAATTTTACATGATTTTGTAATTTTCAAATTCCATCTCTTTTCAGGGCGTAGGCGATCATGATTCGTCGCAGATTTCTTTGTTAATCTGGGAATTGCCATGCCTGCTTGCGAAAGATATTGAAGAGGTCTCCGTTGACTTCTCCACTGTTTGGAAATCAGAGTTTTTCTTCTGTTTATCATTCAAGGTTAGGGAAACCAGTCTGTTATCTAACCCGTAGCTGTGGATGAGGAGAGAGATTCAAACCTTTTTCCAGATAATTTATGCGAAAGTGAATGCAATAGATTAGTATATCATTTACGTTAAAGGACCTTATGGATAAGTGCGAGAAAAGAATTAGAATAGCCCAAATATATACCAAACATTTATTCTGTTGAAAGACAATATACAAAACGTTTTTATCTTTGGTGAAAGGTTTTTAAAGAGAACGATGAAAGTGCTGCTTTTGAAAAGGCCCAGCATGTTGTGTCAGAAGAGAGGCAGTCATTGTCGTCTCTCCATCACTGGAAGGGTCTTCACGATTATAAAACGCTTAGTTTTTAATCCTTAACTACGTCTCTGATGGTAGTTATTAACGGCAAGTACTCCGGAACCATGGTGGTCAACGCAGGCGTCCACCATTGGTCACTTCTCGGAAAAACCCTATCAGGTCAAAAATGGGATACTCTTGTCATATTTGAACGGGAGCTAGCCAGTCGTCATTTTCTAGTCTCGATATAGTTCAAAAGCATCTCCGAGTCCTTTTGGGTGACGAATTATTTTTCACCTTCCAAACTCTCCGCTCTCTCCTTATTTCCATGAAAAATTACATTCCTTGATTCCGCCACGGCAAGGTCCCACGATGCCACATGTTGTGGCAAACCACCCATATTCCCTTCGTATTCCATAGGTGAGAAGTAAGTGCCACTCGAGCAGCTTCTTCCTGCGAACCACTGCTCTGTAGAACCGACTCATAAAAAAATGTTTCCCTGATCACTACAATCTGTATGTTCAAGTCTAGAGTCAACCGTTATCTTCCCCTTTTATCAGTATAAACCACCTCTTAACATAACCCTTCAACCAGGGCCTTGTACAAGGTGAAGCTTACTGTAAAAAAAATGTTATGGGGGCGAAAAGAGACCAAGAGCTTCATATCAAACGCTTAGGTAAAATGAAGGCGGGTTACGATTGGACGATTTTATATTCAATCCGGAACTCCGATACAAACAGGGTTCGGCAAAGCTAGAGAATCTGGATTTTCTCACTAACTCTGGAACAGCTACAACATCTGATGTCGGGAGTTAATGGGTCATTTAAATATGAGTTATGGCGTTCGCAGTAAAAGGCGGCTATCGTATACACACTCGTGCAATATTCTACGGTCTGGTAAAGGCGCAAAGAGAGAGAGAGAGAGAAAGAGAGGGAGAGAGAGAGAGGGAGAGAGAGAGAGGGAGAGAGAGAGAAAACGATTAAAATAGAAAAGTTCAAAACAGTTGTGAGAAAATAGAAATATTTAAGAGAAGAGAATGCAATTAATTTTTCTTTCATGCGGAATGAGGGGATAAGACGGAAAATGTATAACACATTGATGGCTATTGATGCTATTGATGATAATAAAGTTGGTATCGTCACTACCACTACTGCTGATGAGGTTGATAATGCTAGTAGCCCTGCTTCTAATGATAATCATGCTGTAGTTGATGCTGATACTGCTGATGTTGTTGCAAATGATTCGGACAATTCCTGCTGTTCTCCCTGCTGCTGCTGCTGCTTCCTTTTCTCAATTTACACCGAATGATTAAATATTTTGATCCGTGAAATATTCTGGCAGCTCCCACAGTAAAAACAACAATTTATCACAACCTGTAATTATACTTTTGTTCTTTTTTCTTTCTTTTCATTCTATTCTAAGTATCTGTGTTATTTTCTCTCTCTCTCTCTCTCTCTCTCTCTCTCTCTCTCTCTCTCTCTCTCTCTCACTCACTCTCTCTTTTACACAAAACCCCACTCGCGCAAATCTAAACATATTTAGTAAAATTCATTCGGAAGCGTCTCTCCCCACTCCATTACTGTTAAAGTGCTTTTATTTTTCGGTAGGTACTTCCGCGTGACTAAATAGAGCTTAGTAAGTACCTAAGATAGCGTACATGCGGAACAACGGTTACTAGGCACACCATTACAACTAAAAACAATTATTTTAGTCCTCATTGGACTCACTTCAGTAATAATATTTACAATGAGGTGCTGAAAAGCTCTCAGCTTAGCTCAGTCTACTTTACAAAATCTGATCAAATGAAAATTTTTAGGTTTAAATGCGTTTTCACCGTGCCTGGACCTTTTCAGTAATCCCTCATATGATATCAGTACATATACACTAGAGTTCAAAAGTTTGAGGTGATTGGTAATTTTTTAAATTGGCCCAAAATGTAGTTTGTTTTTTTTTTACTTTAGATAAGAGAAAATAATTATTGATTAAAAAAATGTGAGACATAATTTTTTATTAGAAATTTTATTATGACAAAAAGAAAAAAGCATTTTATGATTAAGTTTTGCTCTCGTCAAAATATCCTCCTTTAGCCTTGATTATTGCAGCACAAATTTTTGGCATTCATTGCAAAAGTTTCTCAAAGTATAAGTTTGATAATTGATTCCATTCTGTATCTGTCTATATTTCTGAGATGAGGTATTATGCACATGTTTAATGGAAGTCAGTTATAAGTTATCCCCTGTTAATTTCCCTCTCCAAGTTTTCCACTGCCTTAACCGGATATTGAACTCACACTCTTTGGGTCCTTTTGGAGATAACTGATAATTGACATCCATTAAACATGACACGTGGAACTAGAACAATCTACCCCAATGAGCGAAATAAAGTGTTCAGTTCGACATTCCAACCACCTGAAGAAGGCCAGGGCGTACAACGGCCGAAACGTTGTAGTAAATATGGCCACAAAGATGAGGACAATAGTCCGAATACTGTAAATTGTGATTCTATCCTGTTTTCAATGACTCGAAGAGCTATTTTTCATTTTTTTCTCACTCTTTTGTCAAGTTTCTTCAAACATTTGAACTGTAGTGTGTGTGTGTGTGTGTATATATATATATATATATATATATAACGTCATCGACAGACAGACTGTTTCGCAGCTCATCAGTGTGGCTAGACATCCGGTTACCTCTAGCTAGGATCGAAACCCGACTGAATTGGTGTCAGTCGGAGATTCTAACCATTAAGCCGTCGGTGGATTTTTAGCGTATTTATTTTTAGAAAACACCCAGTGACCGACAGTGACTCAATTAGCATTTATTTATTTATTTATTTATTTATTTATTTATTTATATATATATATATATATATATATATATATATATATATATATATATATATATATATATATATATATATATATATATATATATATATATTTATATATATATATATATATATATATATATATATATATATATATATATATATATATATATATATATATGTGTGTGTGTGTGTGTGTGTGTGTATTGGGTTGTCCGGAAAGTTCATGCCTATTTTTAGTCGTTCATGTTCCAATGCGTTAGAACACGTCAAAATTTATCGACAGCCATATTCTGCTTACATTTCCGATTACCACATTTCAAGCTATCTCTTGAGAAAAAAGTTTCAAATTACTTAATTCGTGTCAATTTTGCATCCCTAAAAAAAATGGAAGATTATAAGGTGCATTTTAAACAAATGGTGATTTTTTTTTACCGTAAAGGCAAAATTGCCTCGCAAGTAACAAAGAAGATATGTAGTGTGTGCGGTGAGGGTGCTTTAGCTGACAGAACTGTAAATTTAGAGTTGGTGATTGTAGCCTCATTGATGAAGAACGCCTCTTCCCCACTAAAGATGACAACCAAATCAAGATATTGATTGAGAATAACCTGCATTACACAACGCGGGAATTGGCAAAAACACTAAATTTATCAAAATCCACCATCCTTGAGCAATTAGTAAAGATTTTGTATTCAAATCTCTACGATGTTTGGGTAACACAAGATCTGACTGAAAAGAATCTTTTGGGTCGCATTTCATCTGTGATTTGCTGTATAAACGCAAGGAAAATGCACCCTTCATGAAGCAAATTGTGACTGGTGATGAGAAATGAATCATTTACAACAATGCTCAACGAAAAAGATCCTGGGGTAAGCAACAAGAGCCACTCCAAAACGGGTCTTCATCCTGGTTGGATTGGAAAGAAATCCTGTACTATGAGCTTCTGTCAAGTAACCAACCAATTGATTCTGCAAAGTACTGCTCACAACTGGACAAATTAAAGACAGCAATTCAAGAAAAATGCACAGAATTGGTGAACAGGAATAGTACCGGACCTCGCGTTTCTTTGGCGACCAGGCAAAAATTGTTGCAGCTTGGCTGGAATGCGTTACCCCACCAGCCATATTCACCAGACAATGCTATTTCGGATTTTCATTTATTTCGGTCGTTGCAAAATAATCTCAATGGTAAAAATTTTAATTCTTTGTATGACTTAAAAACCACCTTAATGAGATATTTTTCGAGAAACCACCTAAATTCTGGTATGATGGAATCTTTAATTTAAAGAAAAAATGGAAAAATTTTGTCCCGCAAAATAGTTCATATATAGTTGAATAAATATTTAATGGCGTTATCTTGTTTTGAGTGTTAATTTCCATTAAAAAATCGACATGAACTTTCCAGACGACTGAACACTCACTCACACACACGCACACGCGCGCACACACACACACACACACACACACACACATATATATATATATATATATATATATATATATATATATATATATATAAATATATATTGTTAAATATAACAGACAATGAATGTCTGTTATGTTTGATCATGAGCCGTTCTAAACTTCGTGCGATTGGTTTAATTTCTGGTGAAAATAAAAACAAAAATTGTCCAACATTTGGATATTTTTTTTATTATCCTGTTACTTGATCTAAGCTTTCGGCTCACATGAGTCATCTTCAGATTGGTTATACGGATATTTAAACAAAGATATTCACCAGCAAAGATGATATTCTGTTATAATAACATAGAAGACTGGTAGGAAAAATTCATGACGCAGTTCTATGACGTCATACCACGTGAGAGAACGAAATATTAACAACAGATCCATATGTCTAAATGCAATGTTATGTGTTGTGACTAGCCTGAAATGTAATTTTGTTGAGTGTAGATTGCTTTGTTTTGTTAAGTTTAGAACGGCTCAGGATCAAACATAATTGCCTGTTATATTTAACAATATATGTTTGAATAATGATCTACTGCACCAATACACCACTCTCTCTCTCTCTCTCTCTCTCTCTCTCTCTCTCTCTCTATATATATATATATATATATATATATATATATATATATATATATATACTGATAGTAATACTCGTTTGGTAAAAAATCTCAAATAGCTCAACTTGTAGATATGTCAAAAGAAAATCGGTAGCCGGGGAAAAATTGGAAATAAAAAAAGAAAGAACTAAAAACATTTGATCAGGGCGAAACAAATCGTCCAGTGCCTTAAGTCTTTAGTTCAAAAAAGAACAAAACCCAAGCGAGTAGTAAGACTAAAACGTAGAGGCATCATTACGCTAAGTAGAGCCGAAATAACTAAAAGAAATCCTAAAGAGCCAGGAAAATCTACCTAGGTTTCACCCAAACGATTTATGCGAAACTAAGGTCCTGGCTCTTTAGGATTTCTTTTTATTATTATATATATATATATATATATATATATATATATATATATATATATATATATAGAGAGAGAGAGAGAGAGAGAGAGAAGGTTTATCAAAAATACATTTATAAACTTTGGAGGCGGGTTTCCTCATACGAAAACAAGACAAAAAATACATATAAACATGTCCGCAAATCGTTTGTTTTTGAGTTACGTTTAAAGTTTGCGGTAGACGCTGTTAAAAGTGCAACCCAAAATACAATCCCAAAATACAATCCCAAAATACAATCCCAAAATACTTTTATAAAGTTTTGGAGTGGGTTCCTTGCACCAAAACAAGGTAAAATGGCCATATAAACTTATAAGAAATGTTCAAAATGTCCTCCGCTTGCTTCTACACACGCATGCACCCGTCGGATCATTGACTGACGAACCCTTTCAAATACTTCCACACGGTGTCGAATGGTTTTGCAGGCCCTCATAAAGTGTCTCTGCATTATTAATATCTGTTGCATAAACCAATTGTTTTAGATGCCTCTACAAATCAAAATCCAGGGGATTACACAGTGAAGATTTCCTGATATATATTTATTAAGTATTTTTGATACTCCCTGTATATATGAAGTGGATACTGAGGTCAACACAAAACAGCGACAGTCTGTTTCATGCTTGAACGCAAAGGAAAGTGGGAAGAAAGGACTAACCATCAATTGCACGAAAGCAGAATGTATGGATGTAAAAATGATGAACAAGTCAAGATGCAGACTATGAATTGCAGACACTATATATATATATATATATATATATATATATATATATATATATAT